AAGAAAGAGAAATCACAATTTTTCCAAAAAGTTTGATAACTATGTAATCATATGATTCAAATATGACTATAGAGCACATATACGTATTAAATCACTTAAGATATATATTATAATCGTGTAAGGTCTCTGATCATGATCGTAACTTTACGATCAGGATTGTAATAATCACTTTGCATGAATTTTTTTATCACAAAAAAAAAAAACAAATATTAGTGACATGAAAAAGTTGTTTTTGTGACCAACAACATTCGTGTTGTGTCAAGAAGGTAATCTTTTCATTTGTCTTGAAGGATGACAATTTGAGCAATTTGATCAAACCCACAAGTCTATTTTGATCTTCTAGAGTTTGGAATCTTGTCTTGATAAAAAAACCAAATGTGAAATGTAGAACTAGAGGGAAGCTACGAATTAGGGTAAAACACCTCCATATATACGAAAATTTGTCATATTCATAATATAAATGTGGGCATTTTGGACATGGTCAAACAACAAAATCTTGTATTGTGTGTTGAACATCTTCTTCATTTCTCTTTTCCTTATCAAATTTATCTCCAAGTAAAGAGAAGTTATCTCAGATAACTTATCTGAGTGTGGTGTCCACATTCTTCTCTCAATAGAATACAAAATGTCACTGCAATGGTTGATACAGTTTCTCACAACATTTCATTAACCGACAAGTAATTCTAATTCTAAGGGAATCACACAGGCCATGATTTAGCCCGACAGGGATAGCTGAAGGCATCACAAGGGAAATGGGCAACAAGTCTACAGTTCATCTATGCTTTATGACGAAAATTTCAGAATACTATATAAGAGATTACATTCAAGTTGATGAAAAGCATAGATGTGTTTTATTTAATTTTATAGACCACTGAGCCAGCATATCATCAACCCAAGGAAAGCTGAAATAGTTCTCGTTATGTCGACAAAGTAGAAGTAGCTTTTGGCTACATATTAGAACTTGGAATTTGTCACCATATGCATAGTTTTTAGCATCTAGATACTAGCTAGCACAATAGCATGCAGGCCATCTAGAAAGAAATTAAAACAGATTAATATCATTGATGAATACTTGTACAAACATGGGAATCAAGAGAGAGAGAGAGAGAGAGAGAGAGAGAGATGAATATAAAAGTATATATATATACCTCGTATAGCCGTATAGGTATTCTAACTATCATTCAAAATTTTGTTGTTAAAATTCATGAAGAAGTTATAAAAAAAGTTATATTTTAGATACTATCAATCTGAACTAGAGAGGTCATTGCAAGTTACTGTTAAGGTTTTCTTTAATCCCCTTATTGCACTACTGACGGGTTTTAACTGCTTTAAACTCTTTGGTCAGTTCAATTGATTAGGTCATTGAAAGTTATTGTTAAGGTTTTCTTTAATCCCTGTCTCTGGCCTGGAGAGATTAATATATTACGTGCGGAGTCCGGATATAGAAAACTGTTCCATTTTGTGATTGTGAACATTAAAAGCGCAGTGGTGGACGGTAAAAATACAGTGGTGAATAGTAATTACGCTTTTACTGTTCACAGTCATAAAACCGAATGATTCTCTGAATCCGGACACTCCATGTAATAATCTCTACTGCCTCTGTGTGTGTGGCCGCGTGCATGAGTGCATATACATGCATTTGTGTGCATACATTTGTATGTTAGAGAGAGAGAGAGAGAGAGAGAGAGAGAGAGAGAGAGACGTGTTTTCTTCTTTTAGTGGGTGCATGAATTATAAGAAGTAACGTATCATGTCAACCTTATGGGTAATAATGATATTGGTGTAATTAAGATCATCATAATGATTTTCTTAACTTAAGAGTGTATTTAAGTGAGCATAAGATGAAAATAAACAATGAAGAAACACTAAAGACAGATTTGAGTGACTCCAAAAAAATAAAAAAAATACAATATCATGATCAATAAAAAAATAATGAAAATTACTGATATACAATATGTCATAAACTTGTTATTTATTATTGATAATTAATTATGATATCTTATCAACTTACTAATCTCATTATTGTATGATTTCCATCAATTATCTATTAGTTATTATTTTACTTATTTTTATTTTTTTTTTTTACATATGTCATCTGGAGGTCGATGGCCTGCCCACATTTGTCTATACTGCCAGCCTATCTACTATCTTTGTATTCTCATAATTATCTCTTATACTTTAACTAGGGGTGTCAATTTCGGGTCACGGGTCGGATTCAGGTCGAACCCGGAACTGACCCGGGTTCAAACGGGTCAACATTTGAAATCGGGTCGGGTTCAACCCGGATTTTCCGGGTCGGGTTTTCGTGTCGTGTCAAATATTGACACCAGGCCCAAACTTTAACAGAAAATTAATGCACAATATTTTGAAATGTTATAATTTTAAAATAGATTTAAAATTATTAAATATGCTATATAAAATATTCATATTTTATTAATTTCAAAACAAATTAAATAATTTTTAAATTCATTTAAGATAAATTATATCATAGCATACTGATATTTTTCTCTTGATTTCTTTAGTTTCTACTTGGGTGTAAGTGAGTCAAGTTGAATTGTGAGATAGCTCAGACTCAACTCGATATATGACTCGTGAGCTGAACTTAATGAACAAATGAGTTAAGCTTGAGCTAGCGTTTACTCTGCTTATTAGCTCAAGAGTTGGCCCATTTAAAAAATATTAATATAAAATATGCTTAAAATGGGCTTTGTCCTCATTTTACTAAAAAAAAAAACTTAAAATATATAATAATTCAGAATTTCAAATACAAAATTATTTAATATTTCTATTAATTTCTTGTGTTAGGCGATTCTTTATTATTATTTTTTATAATTTCTTATTTTTTTTATCATTTTATTATAATAATTGCTTAAATCTAATCTTTTCTCTTTTTTATAATAAATAAGCCGCTTCAAACTCATAGAATAAAATTCAAGCTCAAGCCTTAGCTCAAACGAAAGGTGACTCGACTCGGCTCGACTTGTTTACACCCGTTATTCCCACACAATCATCGGATGAATCAATTAACGTATATAATAGGCTTTATATATAGCTAAAATTTATAATAAGGAAGAGGGAGGAATTTGAAGATCAAAGGCCATTTTATAAAAAGGAGTAGGTTTTAATGTTAAATTAGTTTAAGGAGTAGATCAATAAAAAAATTTAAAAAGGAGCAAAACCGGACTGGCAAAATACGGTTCTTAGAAAAATGGAAACCGGAACATCAAAATACAGTTTCTATAGAAACCGAATTTTCAAATTACGGTTTCTATAAAAGTCCGAATTTAAAATAAAATTTCATAATTATTATTAAAAAACTGGATTAAAATAATCCGGTTTCTTAAGAAACTGGAACTTCTCAATCCGGTTTATTGAGAAACAAATTTTTAAGTCACGGTTTCCACTACAGGAAAAACATCGTTTACCGGAGGTTCTTTAACTGCCGGTACTACCGGCGGTTCGCCCGGCGGTGTAACCGCCGTCTAATACCGGCGGCATACCCGGGGGTTTCGTAACGACAGACCGCCGGTATTAGCGACGGTCTTGTAACCGTCGGTGCAATCGCCGGCTTTCAATCGTACCGCTGACAAACCGCCGGTTTAGCCATGCTAACCGCCGGAAATAACCGCCGGTTTTTAGAGTTTTTCCTGTAGTGTTCTATTAAGAATAAATTTTAAATTTTATTTCCATGTTCTATTTCTTAAGGCTTAATTAAAAAGGAGCCTTAATAACTGTTATATTTATATAAGTTTATTTAACTGTTATTTATATTTATTTATTTAAAATAAATGCATGTATAGTTTTATTTTGATTAAAATATCCAGTTTGAATATTTCATTTTTTAGTTTTAAATAAACAAATTGTTTTTTATTTTTTAATTTTATTTTAATTACTTGTTCTCATAAATTTATGTAATTAAAATAAAATTCCATAATATTAGATTTCTTAATTATTTTAAAAAATAAATTAAAATAAATGGTTATTAAAATGTTTATATTTGATATATAACCAAAAAAATTAAGCCGGATACCATCTGAACTCCGATTTCAATAAATTTGAATGTCTCAAAAATACGAACACAACGAAACCAAATTCGACTTAATTTGAGCTCAAATAAGCTGCCCAAATCAAAGACCCTAAGTGCATTTGGAAGGATCAAACCATAATTTGGATTACTAAACGGTTTCCAAACGTGACATGCATATAATCGAATCGAGCGGCTCGATGACACGAATCCAACCAGCCCAAGATCGCCGAATTCTGATATCATTAAGACATTAAAAGGATATCATTAAGACATTCAAATGAATTTATTAGAATTAAAATGTTAATATTTATATTAACCGGTTTCAAAAAAAAAAGTTTAAATTGAACTCATTTGGGCTCGGATTGAGTCAAATTTGATGTCGTTAGGTTTGTACTTTTGAGACCCAGTTTTTTTGGTTTTTGTTTTTTGTTTTTTGTTTTATGTTTTAAAGCCGCTTAAGTGATATCCGGTTTCTTTGGATTTTTTTTTTTTGAAACCGTTGAATGAAACTCCGGTTTCAATATAAATCGGTTTCAATAGAAACCGGATAATCAAGTTCCATTTTTGCTCCTTTTTTAAAATTTTTTGTTGACGTGCTCCTTTAAACTAATTTAACATTAAAACCTGCTCCTTTTTATAAAATGGCCAAGATCAAACTACATATATACATAATACATTCAAACAATGAATTTAAAACTATATTTAATATATCATCCAATCCAGCAAATATTTTCAATGTAAAAAAAAAAGGGAATAGAAACAAATTTGTTTCAGCCTAAAAAAATTAACTTTAAACATTATCAATCCAACCAATTAACTTATGATTAATTCAACTAATTAGATGATATTCAACTCAACAATATACCTTAAATTTCTAATGTCTTCTTCGATCGATGGAAATGATTCAAATTCAACCATCCAATATGATACTCTCTCTTATTTATCTTAAACTTAAGGAAAAAAAAAAAAATCATCATACTCCATTTGCAGCAGCAGAAAGCTTTGACCAGTACTCATAAATCCCTATTTCCACCTTTTCCCTTCCTTCAATCTCCAATGGCGCAAAAAAGCACGAAAAATCCTCCAATCTAAGATCCATGTCCACCAAATTCCCACCCCTCTGCACTTTGCCTTTCATGATCTCATCATGAGTAGTAGCAGCACTTGAGGTCCCAACTTCACTAAATAGATCACCATAAGCCATTCTCTTAATGAGTTCTAATTCTTGGTTATGTTTATGATGTTGTTGCTGATGTTGTGGCGGCGGCGAAGGCGGAGGAGGAGGAAACAACGGCGACTTTGACGGCACAGACGATAAACAGTGCCGTGAACTCTTGGAAGCCCGTTGTTCCTCCAAGCGTTCGAGGAGCTGGTTCAGGACCTTAGTTGAGAGAACTGATGATGAGCCAGTGTTTGAACTGCCAAATCCACCTTGGTTGCGCGGCCAGAAGTTGGTGCGGGTGTTGGCGCCGCGGAGGAGGCAAGCGGCCTCATCATAGGCATGGGCGGCGGCCTCTGCTGTATCGAAGGTGCCCAGCCAAAGGCGAATTTTTTGCGCGGTGCCTTTGATCTCCGCCACCCACCGGCCCGACGGGCTCTGGCGTACACCCGTGTATCGCTTTCGCTGCTGCCGACCGATGGATATCGACAATTGCTTTGACACTGTTTCGTTGATTTTTACCGTTGGGTCCATATTTTTTCTTGAACCAATCTTCTGCACCATTTTTGCAAGCTATAGCGTATTCTTGGCTTTGGTTATGGCGAACTGATCATAAGGGGTAATAGAGCTAATTATTATAGTGGCTTATTGTAGAGGATGACGCCATAGTTGTTTGGTTTCTTATGTTTGTATTTGCATTGTTGTCTTTGTTTTGTTTTGTTTTTGTTTTTTTTTACTTTGAACATTTAGGTCAATTAAGACAAGGCTCAGACACCCATCATATATACAAGACTTGAACTCAAGAACTCTTAGTTAGTAACCTTAGCTCTCAACCAACAGACAAAGGGTGTTTCTGTTTTTTGGAGATTATCTTACAGGAACACTTTTATCCTTATGTGCTTACTTGGCTGCAAGGTTATTTTGGTAGGTTTCTGTTTTTTCCTGCTTTTTTTTGGTTTTCTATTTTGCAGGAAGAGGAAGCTGAACGAGGACATTAAGCTCTTCCTTTTTTGGGTGCTGTTTGCTCACAACCCGATTTCTTTTTTATGATTCTTTTTGTAATCTTAGGAAAAGGAACCACTGGCTCGTAGGTTTTATTTTTCACTTTTTGCTTGTAGCTCTTTCGAGCGGTAGTGAGCTGGAGGTTCCTTCTAAGGACTCTGTAACCGGTTTTTGGAATTAACACGTAGGCCCCTTTGAGGGTTTTAACTAAAAAAAAAAACAGACAAAGGTGTATGAGTCTGCCTTAATTATTTTTTTCATATTTATTAGAGAGTATAATTGAATTGGAGTGGATCCTAATTAAGTTATTATCATTAGTATTTAGCATCTTTATTCTTGAGAAATTTTTTTTATTTTAATTTTAACATATTTTTTTCCAAGTATCTAATTATATGAGACTAAGGATTTGTTTGAGATGGCTTTCTTGCAGCTAAAAAATTGACCCAAACGAAGCCTAAATATTAGCTAACATGCTCTTTTAAATGTATTAGAAATAATGTGCTTGATGGCTCATCTATAAAACAAAATTTATATGTTATCTTTATACATGAATGAAATAACATTCTCTTCGATACTATGTTATAAGTTTTATCACTTCAATGTTCACCACTTAATCCTCTTGCTAGGCTTTGACTCTACTTCGTTTGTGTACTTAGCCAAGATTCCACATTAGCATACCCACCCTTTACATCACTCATGGTTGCTTCAAGCACATAAAATGCTCAATCTATTTCCTTTTTATTAAGAATAAAAACTTATCACATATTTTTGTAAGAAAAAGGTGGGATCATGGAAAGATTTTAATTTTGGATTGTGTTTGGTCACATAAGATAGGAAACAAATATATTAATATAAAAATATCAAGTTAGTGATTTGTTGCAGGCTGAGAAATTTGCGACGGTAGAGAGATGCATATCGCATTACGCATCCTAGCTTTGTATAAAGATCCAATACACAATAGATAAGAGATAGGGGTGCACATTCATAAGAGACATCAATAATTTACTGTGAAAAATTCTGAAAGAGGAAAAAATCATGGGGCATAACCTAGTTTGAATGAATCAATTAGTATTGATAATTGATTATAAAATAATACTTCTCCTCAGAGGAGGGGGTCTGGCTCAATGTAGCAAATACACATTATATATAGTATATTACATAATTGGAGAACAGCATGACACATATTCTTAAGAGAGTGTTGGCATATTTGTTTGATCAGTAGGAAAATAGTAAGTAGGTGACGGTAGTCAGAAAGACTCTAGTAGGTGGACTATGGTGGTCGGAGGGATCATAGTCAAATGACAAAAGTGGTGGAGTGGTCGTAATCGGCTGACGATGATGGTCGAAGGGACTGTAGTTGGCGAGCAACGATATTCAGAGGTACCATAGTTGGCTGGCGATAGTGTTCGAAGATACTGTAGTCGGCTGACGATGGTGTTCGGGGGATCTTAGTCAGCGAGTGAGTGTGGTCGGATGGACTGTAGTCGGTGGGTGACGATAGTTGGCAAAAACTCTAGCAGTGCCAGCGTTGGATGGAGGGAGCAAGAGATCGAGCTCTCAAATTTTCTCCTTTCCTCCTCGCCCTTCATGTAAAGAATGAGGAGCTATTTATAGATTTTTTTTGGAGTGACATAACTAGTTAACATGGAGAAGATCAAAGGTAAGTTTGAGTGCTCTATCGGACGTCTGATATTAGTTCCCATAATCATAGAGTGTTTATCAAGCATTAGATGCTCAATTTGATTATAAGCATACTGAAATCGGAGTTTGGATGATCTCGAATTCTAATTTATAAGTTTCCAACTTGGATGCATGTGCCTCTAGATTCGTGCTTGATCAAGGCAATTTTTTGTGATTATCAATGATCATTCACAATAGATTAATGCTAAACTTTTTGTACTAAAAATTCGTTTTAAGAAGCAGTAAGAAAGCCGTCTCAAATGAAGGCTAAGGCTTCATTTGAGATGACTTTATTACTGTTTTCTAAAGTAGCTTCTTAGTACAAAAATTTATAGCTCAAAAAATTTTGTATTAAAAAATTATTTTAGAAAGCTATCCCAAATGAAGCCTAAACTGGTAAATCAAAAACAAATTTAAGGTGCATTGATATATCTATTTCAACTTTGATTCTCTTTGATTTTGCACTCATTAATAATTCACGTAAGGGTTTACGAAAGGGTTAAAAAAGATTGAAGCATTTTCTCAACACATTTGGATCTTAAAATATTATTTACAATTGGCGACTAAATTTACAAGAGCTCAAATACTTGAAATTATTTTTAAATTTTCTAAAAATTGTTTTTATTACTTATAATTTATATTTTGTTTCTCAAAAATATTTTTCAAAACAAAATTTAAGTAAAAAATTATCTATTTTTTGTCATCCGATTAACCTTTTTTTATGTTAGATATTTTTCCAACCATAAGAAAATAAATGAAAATTAAAACCTAAATGAAGCCTTAGTCAATTACTTAGTTCTATTTTGTTAACATACCATCTAATTACATCCATCAATAAGTAATTAAGCTTAATGACACATTCTAATCTATTTTTAATGACTTGATTACTAGTCTATTATTTGCGTAAACTCGTTTTAATTTTTTAATTAATTTAATGCATTTGATAAACTAAGCCAAGATAAGGTTTTAATACATTTCACTATCACCAACTGGCATCATTGCCTATTTTTTTTAAATGTTAACCAAAGGATTAATGACACCAACAAAGTCATTAATTTAATTATAATTTTGTTTTTTTAATGATTAATTAATTGACATTTTGAAACGCGGCTTTGAAAATAATAAATATTTATTTTATTTTATAAGACTTTGCTATCTAAAACTATTTTAAAATTTCTTATCATTTCTTTTAACATAAAAAAAATTTATAAATGATCTTTATTTGTCACATATTAACATATAGAGTAGATAAAATTCCTTATCTTAAAAAATATGTTGTATTACTGTCAGACTTTTAGCATAAAACTATATGCTTATCAGCATCTTAAGCTAGCATGGACCATTTCTCTGATTTTATTCAGTAGCATTTGTCAAAAAATTAAGATTGATGTGTCACCAAAAATCATCTTGATCTAGCACAAATCTCGAGACATATCTAATTGAAAACTATTAAAGTTAAATTCTGGATCATCCAAACTCCAATTTCAATGAACTTATTGTCAAATTGAATGTCTCAGTAGGACGAACCCTACAACTCCAAAATCGGTCAAATCCAAGCCCAAATGAGCTCAATTCAAGGGCTTAAAGCATATTAGGAAGCTTTATAGCATTAATTAGATGATCGAATAATATCCAAATATAACATGCTTATAGTCGAATCAAGCGGCTCGACGAGAAGAATCCAACGAGCCCAAGATTTCTTCATTTTGACATCATTAGGGTACTTAAATGTTGAATGGATGCTCAATAATTGATGGAATCAATATGGTTGTGCAATGGAACATTGTGAATTTGCTCCAGATCTTTCTCATATTTATGAGGCATGCACTCTTAAAATGTATAAATTATTCTTACATGAAGAGGGGGCTTGTTCCTTTAAAAACTTGGACCTTGGACTAGAGATCAAGAAAGCCATAAGGCTTGAAGAATCTCAGAGCTCCACCCCGACACCACTGCCATCGAATCCTTGCCACCTGGCCACAACTGCCGAGCCTCCACCCGATCGTTATCATCAGACTTTCGTCCGTCCACTATTGCTATGTCTACCTTTACCACTTTAGGCCATGAGTTCCATCGAACCACTATCAGAGGCCTTGAGTTTCGTCGGACCATTGCTTGACACCCGGAGTTTTGCCGGACCACCACCATAGGCCCTGAGTTCCGTCAGACAACCGCTTGACGCCCTGAGTTCTGCCGGAACACCACCTAAGGTCATGAGTTTCGCTGGACCACTGCCTGATGCCCAGAGTTCTACTGGACCATCACCTGATGCCCATAGTTCTTTCGGACCACCGCCTGATGCCCGGACTTCTGTCGTACCACCACCTGATGCTCAGAGTTCTTCTGAACCATCACCTAACCCCTAAAGTTCTTTCGGATCACCACCTGACACCCATAGTTAAGCCAAACCACCGTCGGACCACCGACTAAGGCCCAAACTTTTGCCAGACCACAAAAAAAAGTCCAAGTTCTGCCAGACCATCGAAGAACGCCTGAACTTCCATTGGGCCATCACCCTACGACTACGATCTCTCTGATCCCGGTCATCTACCAACTACGGTCCTTCCAACCTCTATCGCCTACTACGTTCCTTCCGACATCCTTTGCTAGACAATGGTCTTTCTGATCCCTGTCGCTTGTTGACTACAATCCTTCCGACCTCCGTTGCCTACTATAATCTTTTTGACCTCTGTCTTATTGACTTATGGTTCTGCCAACCAAAAAAATATGTCTATGTTAATTATTGTAACTCCCACCATGTAACGTGCTCTATATGATGTATATTTGTGATATCAAGCTAAGGCCTTCTCCCAAGGAAGTGCATCATTTGTAACTGACTGCAAATACTAGTGGATTCATTCAAACTTGACCAGGCCCAGTAG